GAATTTCAAGTTAATCCAACAATGAATATGGCAGTTAGAAGCCTGCTAAGGGTAAGATGTCGCCGGCTGAAGCGGGATCGGCCGACGCGGGAAACGCGGCAATCACAATTTTGTGCTTACACACTCATAACTCAAGTTGTTACCGGCCGATTTTCAAAATTCTTTGACCATATGATTGCCTGTACATTTCACAGTCTTCTCACCAAATTCGACGCGAATCTAATGTAATCAGCGGTAAGGAGCGCGATGTAAAGACGGAACCGTTCCGCCCCGGCACAGTCTACAATTCAGGCGGCGCGTAACGGCTAGCGCCGGCCGCCGCGGCAGGATGTTTGACTTTACACCGCTATTACTAGAAAAGTTGTGAACCGATTTTCTTATTTCTTGCACGGGAAGATTCGCAATTCAATTCTGGACAGGTAGCCAAAATTTCACAATAATATTATCTTTGCGGCGCGAGTTATTGGCGAAAAACAGGAGGGGTGGGCGAAATCCGCCCCCCCCCCCTTCCACTGCGCGTGTTAAAGATGCTAACGTGGGGAGTTTTAAAGTTTGGTGAACACAGTTACGAGTCACTGCACAAGAAATGTCGCGGTCGCCAGCCGGCCCAGGCGAAAGAGTCGACGGAGACGGCGTCAAACAAACCCGAGAGAGGGTAGTTTCATCCGCATCAGCGGAGGCGCTCTCTCTACCAAGGTCGTCAGTTACCAGCCGCAGCACCCTGCTGGCGATTTCATAGCTGCTCTCATTCTCAGCTGGCTGAGCGCCATGTGCCGGGTCATCCGGCTCCATGATTTCCCCTTTCATTAGCAGCTGCTGTTGTAGTTATTGTTGTTGCGTTCCTTTCAGCCGCTGCCGCAGCATAGCCGTACGGTTCTGGATGGTTCTCACGGCGGCAGCCAGGGTCACCAAATCCGTCTCCCCGTAGCCACACCAGACTCGGGAAAATGTACCGAGATGTACCGAGCCAATGTTGCAGCACTCGCGGCATTCATCGGTAGGACTCCGCCCAACCCAATGTCGGCACTGCCAGGAGCCCGACCAGTGGTCCAAACGAAACTGATGAAAATCGACAGCTGATGAGCGGTCCTCCACTGACGCCGGACGGGTGGCGACGGCGCGGCCGGTCCTGGAGCTGGAACGGCAGAATGGACCGGCCGGGACATGCGGCTCATCAGTCCATTCGTCCTGCTACTCCCCGTAGACCCCAGCTCCTTCGCTGCAGGTTCTCGCGTCTGCCGACACGTCCCTCCACACCCACGCGGCTCGATAGGGGAGCGGAGGGCAGATATCGTTACGTCGCTTGAAGCAGTTCAGCTGCCGAGGCTATTTGTCGCAACGCCCCCAGCGCCGCGCATCGCAGCAGCACATACCGTGGAGTGCCAGCCTCTTCGCGGCAGACGCGGTATCGGGCAGCAGGGCACCCCACGTCGTTGCATTGTGGGCATCTGGCCTCGGGAGGCGGCCGATGCAGAGCAGGTACTGGCGGATGTCGATAACGACTGCACGGTCGGTGTTATAAACTTAAAAATCTCTTTTGAGGCCGATGCATTGTATTTAAAGGTATGTCCCGTCAAAATTAAAAACAACACACACAATGCCTACATTTTTAGATATCAACCCTTTTCTTTCATTTCGTCCTACATTTCGAAATAAAATAAAACACGTGCTGCACGAACTCGGTAGCCTAGGGAGCCACCACATCGACTATACCCTATTATCTATAATACATGTAAGCTTTGTTCGTAACAGTCGGCCTCCAGGACGGAGCCAGGACAGCGGTCGACCCATATCGACCGGTACCATCCGTCCGGCCAGCTCCGCTGCCAGGCGCGCGCAGCGTCGCGCGCGCGCCTGCCGTGGCGCGCCTGTCGCGCGCGAGCGCCTGCCTTGCAGATAGTGCCCACGTCTATCAAGTTCCAGAACATCACAGGCCGACGAAGGCCCGACAGACCTGTACATAGATCATTACAGGCCGACGAAGGCCGAAAGCTTCACACATAGCTTCCTGCTGGTGCCCGACATGGGCTCGTTTACCCCTAGGGCTTTCTCTTGTACGAACTGCAGCAGTGCGTCCAGACGCCGCTCAGTTTTCATTGCGAACACGGTGTGGGACACCGCCCACAGGAGTCCTTCCCGCTCGTCGGTATATCGACAAAGTACCAAGTCCTCAGATTGGATTGATCCTCCTCTCATTTGGACACGCCCCTCTGAGTGTCCAAATGACTCACGAAATCTTCAGGATGTCGGTTATCGCCCGCAACACCTCGCCCTCTGAAACATAAATCATGTTTTATAACATGTTAGCACGTATGGATTCTAACGGCTGGTTTGAGGGCTCCAGATGGTGGGAGGGGAGGGGAAGGAAGAGAGAACAGTGGAGAGTAGTGGAAGGCAGACGGTCGGGGAACATCGAAGATACCGATGTGTTTACACCTGCTATCATGGCGGCCGCTTGACCATCCCTGCCCATCTCTATATTCTTTCGACAACTTTGGCGCGTTTGATACTTTAGTATTGGCGCAAGTTTTGTTTACAATAAATAGGGGCCAGCTGCCAGACAACAGAAATGAGGTCAAATAAAGCTGGCACTAATATCGTTTTTCTGCGGGAATTACAAAATAAAACCCCATCACAACCAAGTCTGTGTTAAGAAATTTCACAATTTTTAATGTTTCAAATCAATTTTTCAGTACGAATTTGACATCGTACACCAATATAAATAACACCATCGTGTCCCTGAGCTCAAACTGCATCCGATAGACATCTTTTTTGTTGAAAAGATTCAACTTAAAAATTTGACCTTTTTTGACCTGAAAGTGCCCTGACCTCAGCTATATTCAGATGAAAATGTCCTCGAATGACACAGGCGACACCGAATTCGAAATCTATGGCCTAAATGGACCATAAAACATGTGTCACGTGACCGACTTATGATTTAAGATTTCCGTGACCTGTGATGACCTGACCCTGACCAGAAAATCAAAGTACAAGGTTGATACTCTCAGGGTATCTATAGCATCTGTTCACGACTTTGTAAACCAAAAATCAGCCTGATCTGACTTGTAAGACGGCAGCCAGAGCCCAAAATGTTAACAAGCCAAACATCGATAATGTTTACTTTGACCTGACCTGTGACGTCATCGGTGACCTCGAGTTCAGTGAAATTAGGTTTCGTTCGACAGTTTTTCCGGGGCTATCAGATGCAGTTTGAATTTTGATGATTGGCCCAGTAGTTTCGGAGTTAGGAGGGGGGGGGGGGCTATGAATAGCCCCCCCCCCCCCAGTAGGGCGCGTTATACACAGACCCTAGTGGGGCGCGGGTTAATAAATCCACCTTGGTAACACGACGTTTTAGATTTATTAACCTTCCAGGCGGTGGGGGGGGGGGGGCATTTTTCCCCCCCCCCTTAGTTTTTTCGATATATCTCGCGAACCGCTGCGCCGATCATCTCCAAACTTTCAGTACCCTCCCGGAAGTAGCTAGCGCACATGGTGACCAATTTTTTTTTTCAAAGGCTATGATAGGTTGGCCACTAATGACGTCAGAGTGACGTCATTTTTGCCATTTTCGACCCAAAAAAAGGTTTCGCGGGAAGAGCTGTCAGGCCTACAGCTTTAGAGATACAGAAAAATGTTTCAGACATAAAAGGTGTGGAATCAAGAGGGCTACAAAACTGTTATTTCGGTTTTTCGATTTTTGTTTATTTTGACCCCCAAAAATAAAAAAATAGTTTTTTGAAAATAATAGCCGAAAAATCCAAAACGTTTTTTGAATTTCGAATGAACGGTATATATGTGATAGTCCCTACCGCCTTTTATCTACATACCAAATTTGAGATCAATACCTCTTTTTTTGGCCAAGTTATAGCGAAAAAACTGTTCAAAATTGATGACGTCAAATTTTCAAACTCAATTTTTAGCAATTCTAGACCTTGTAGCGCAAAACAAAGACCACCATTAGACTCCCCGTGACGAGCTGCATCGAATCGATACCCATTTAATGCAAAAATATCAACTTTGAAATTTCACCTTTTTTGACCTGACCTTGACCTGACCTTCATCAGAAAGTGACCTAAACCGTACCTGATGGTCTTATAACCAATACCATTGAGTTGGAAATGAAAAACTGGCCATAAAACATGCATCGCACAACCTTAGTAAAGTTGGGTTCATGTGGTGACCTTTGGTGACCTGACCTGTGACCTGACCTGGTATGACCAGTGACCTCTAATAGCAACATATGTACTAGACAACTGACGCCTTATCGCTGATTTTCGACAAAATGCGTTTTACTCGGTGTTATAGCACTTTCCCTAGAAGCCCCGTGAACGGTGAAACATTTTATCTTTGACCTGACCTGTGACGTCATCGGTGACCCCGAGGTCAATGAAATTTGGTTTCCCTCGACAAATTTGACAGGGCTATCGAACGCCGTTTGAATTTTCCGGATCTGTCTAGTAGTTTCGGAGATACGAGGGGGGGGGGCAAAAAAATGTCCCCCCCCCCACCGCGTGGAAGGTGGCTGGGAGGCCCACCGCCTGCCGGGTTAAGCGATGGCTTTATTAACCGGAGTAGTCATTTTCATAAAAAGTGTTAAATGTTTATTGCAGCTTTACAGTTGACTGCATAATGATGCTCCACCTTTGACAATCAGCTGCGTAGGATTGTATACTGTGCCTTATCACGCAGAAGGAGTGACACAGTTAAATGTTGTGACCCAACCATCGCCATAGATACAATTGATTGTGTGATAGGCGGCACAGTTGTAGCGTTCCATTCCACTGGTAGATTGTAAGAGATAGAACATCGTTTTAATTAGTGACCTTATCCTCGTAGTTAAAAAAAAACAAGTTAAATCCAAACACTTGTTTATTAATTATTTCGTGCACAGCTCTTCATCAGAATACAAAGCTAAAAATGTCACGACAAAAATCGTGACATTTTATTTTACAAAAATAAAATTTTTATTTTACGATTTTTATTTTACAAAAATCGTGACTGCATGTACCACTTGAACTCATGTTGGCCTCCATGGCGGGCTTCTTCGGAGGAGGTGCGTCCGAGCTGGTCCTGAAAACACAACAGAAAAAGGCAATAAGTGATAGAAAGATATTAAATGTCAGCTACAGACAAAATAAGCTACGGAGCAAAACGAGATTCGCCTCTGTCTGATTCATACCTTGCATGGCCTTACTAGTACGAAAAAGCAGCATCGCTGTTGAGCGATATGTAACCCCGATGGCCTCGCATTCACAGTCAAGGTCAGTAGACCGAATGCTTTGTGATTTTCGAATAAACATTTGAGTCAGTTAGCTTTTTATCCTACTTTAGCAATTAGCGTGGCTTGTTTCGTTGACTGAGACCCTTATAACACCTGTCACCCGATCGCACAATTCACTTTATCTGGTGGAATTTCATCTGAACGTCTGGCAAGCCCGAATAACTGGCACACTCCCCTAGTCTGTCCACTGACGTTTTATGAACTCTAGAAGCGTGACCTGATCTTGACCGACAACTCGGCTTTTCCACTTTACTCAATATGAACTCGTCAGCTCGTTATAAGGAGAAATGCATGTAGTAATGGCGGAATCGAGAAAAATAAAAACAATGGAAATCCCACCTATCCCACCCAAAGGTAGCATTTCAATTCATTGTTGGTAAACATTACGATCACTCAGAAGGAATATACTAAGGAGAAGGCGCTCTAGCCAAGTTCACACAGTCGCCCTTTCGAGTCAAGCTAAGCAGTGTTTGGGCAGCATACTACTCACGCGATGTCTGGTGCCTTAGACTTGCCAGTCGACCGCTCTGCAGTGGCTTCCATGGAGGGCTGCTCTGGAGGAGGCGCGTCCGTGCTGGTCCTTAAAACACAACAGAATAGACAAAAAGGTAAACATCGCTACAAGTCAATACACATTTCTGCTCTATTCGATAGTGGGAAGGGACTTTTAACAGCTCATTTCACCCACCGACGCTCTCTGGACTCTGGCGTTCCCAGTTACAGACACACGCGGAACTCAGACATGAGATAGATGTGACTGCCTGCATCTCTCGGCTCTCACCACCAATGAAGTGTCCCAGTTCAGTGCTTTTACAACTTTCATGGAGGGAAAACTGATGAATAGAGAGAACGAAAAGAGCCACTTGAAGAAGTTTTGAAATACATTTTCTGGATAAATTTTAAAATGACACATACAATATAACACATAAGATACGTTAACAAAACTCTACACACCCTGCCTCTCCCAGTATTTCCTCGAACAAATCAGGGCCAGTAAACTGCGTTTCTTCAGATTCGCCCACGACATACATGGACACCTGCATCTGGATCATCGCCGACGCCGGAAGGTCTCGAAGATCAAAGTCTGCGTATGTCTTGAACTCTTCCACATATATCTTGAATGTCAGATTATGGATGTCGCGCTTCAGATCAAAGGCCGAGAAGCATTTGTCTTCAAGACTTTCTCCGTCTTTCAGATGGATGAATTTACTCAACTGTTCCCATTTCACAAGCAGTCGGTGCATTTTGAGCTAAAAAAGGCAAAATCGTGTCATGTTATGATTATGTGTGTGCTTGTAAGAGAGAGAAAGAGAGGGCGAGGGCGTGGGCGTGGACGAGGGCGTGGGCGAGGGCGAGAGCGAGGGCGAGGGGGAGAGAGAGAGCGAGAGAGAGAGAGAGAGAGAGAGAGAGAGAGAGAGAGAGAGAGAAGAGAGAAAAGAGAGAGAACGATAGCTTCATCAGGATAAGATAATAACATTAAACTCAAACGTATATTTTATCACAAAGCTTTGTGTCAAAATCGACCTTGGGCACTGTGAATAGGCAAAGGAATTAAGACAAGATCACCATGTCACGTACAAAATTAAAAAAAAAAACAGTTCAAGCAACATAAACGTTATTGCTTTCATTAACTTGAAACCCAGATCGTACAGCACAAAGGCTCTGAGATACAAACTTATTAATGATAGAACATCAAAGTGATTCAAAACGTTGAAAACATAACGTTACAGTTTGATTTTTTTAAGCCTGGCAATATGTTTAAAGCGTTCCATCCAAGTTCTCATGCGAAAAATAACACTTATTTACCTGGATCCTCATAAATGTTACTTAAATTTTGTCAAGAAAATTTGTAAGCACCTTTCTAAAGCAAGGCATTGATGTCCTATGTCATGTGATAAGTTGGCTGGAACGTTTTAAACATATTGCCAGGCTTTAAAAAATCCAACTATACCAACCTTTTACACATGCCATTCTAAAGGAACTTGCAGTTTTCCATCGAATGTGAAACTTTCACATTTTTTTTAAACTGCAGAACACGCAGAACGTCGTTTCTAGGGATCACGTAATAATGTCCGAGAACACTGTACAGTCCCATTGCATGGTGGTGCTTCAGGGTTTCCATGCCTTTCACTATGGTTTCCCCAAGCGACACTCTATAGCCTTGAACTAGGTCAACCACGTCATTCAGCAAGAGTGTCGTTCCGACCACTGCATAGCTGTCTTCTCTCTTGCGAAAGTGTTCAACATAGAGAAGCATTACTTCCTGATCATGTGCCTCCATAAGGAGAACATCTTTGCAGTGATAGACCGTCGCATCTATGGACACCTCCCGAAACTTGTCCACACCCAGGTTGTCGTCCACTTGCACATCACCTGACTCGTGCGATTTACTTGATGCAGCGCTCTTTTTCTTTTCCGGGACATTTGCACCTGATAAGTGCAAGCAACTAGACTTCTGGTGGCATTCAGCCATGGTCTTACAAACATTCATTCTGTTCTTCGAATTCGCCAAATATTGCTTCATTTCCTTGTGTTTAGACTCAAAACGTAGTGAAGATAGAGACATCAACGGCCCATGCTTTTGCCACTGACCAGCATAGTGGACGAGATGGTGAAATTTCGGCTTCATCTTGAAGTCTGGGAACTCTCTTTGGAAGTTACCAAGCCAATCCTGGACGGATTTGGAAAGCGATTCCAGGTCAGCATCATACAAAGCATTAGCGGTTGTGAGCTGAACTATGTAAATGAGACCTGTTAGCAGCTCCCATTTGTTTTTCACCTGACCGACGATTTTGTCCTCATTTATTTTCGTCAGCAGCATCAAAGGTAGCAGGCGCAGCAAGGTCCACATTTCGCTGCAGGTCTCGGACAACACCCGTATCTGTTTTCCATTCTTTGCGAGAATGCTTGGTCGGTTCTTGTCTGTTTTATGAAACGGAAACTCAGTCATGGCTTCTTTCACCTTTTCGATCGTGATAACACCCTCAAAAACAAAGAAACTGAGCACATTCTGCACTGTATGCTGTGCTACTCCATTTTCAAACAAGTCGTGGCTGATGTCCACAGGAAAGTGCGATATGCAATGAAACTCACTCAGTTCATTCAACGGACACTCTGCCCTGATCCCAAACCTTCTCTGCATATCATCAGGGTAGCCGCTTTCGCCAAACGACTAACCTCTTCATCATATTCTGCTTCCGTTCGCATGTCAAACTTAGACTCTTGAAGCTGGTTCTGGATTGAAGAAGTTGTCGCATGACAAAAACGACATATTCTGTTTGTTCGATAAAAGGCTGTGAAATATCCAGCAACCTCATGTATTCCTTTGAATTGTCTCCGGTCATATAGGCCACCGAACATTTGACATTCTTTCGGGCTCCATTCACAACGACACTCGTTCCCTCCGTATTCAGCCTTTTCAAATCAGACACAAGAGGGTTCAACAAGGATTTCCATGAATGCTTCTTTGTGTAGCTGGACGGAAACAGCATAGCCAGATGAATGTTCTTTAGCTGCGATATGCCCTTCATGTTCCCAATCGCGTAGTATACTGCACCGATGGTGTGCTTTGCTGTCTTGTTGCCAAGAGGGTTGGATACGACAAATTGGTCGTAGTATAGAATAAGGTACAGTGTATCAGGTGCTGGATTTTTGTGTGCGGAGCCATCAAACAAGCCACAGTAGCACCCTTGCGTTCCTGATTTTGGGTGCATGTCAACCTGAGCAGATGTCACTTCACTGGTGAGCAATAGTTTCAGCTGCTGTTCAATGGGAATGTACTGAGGGGTACGCAGATCTGAAGGGTCGAGGTCACCTCTGTGGCCAACGGGGGCCACGTACCCTCGTTCATGTTTAGCAAATTGGCCCACCTTGTGGGTGGTGTCAACTTCAAAAAGCCTACCAATCGACGGCAATGTCTTTGCGTCTACAGAGTCAGTGTTCGATGATTGCATTGCACTTTGCACTTCATTCGTAACCTGCTCGCCAAATCCTTTCATAAATGACACCACATCTTGACATACTTGCTTTGGCACTGACTTCGACTGCAGATAAGAGCACAAAGTCGGCCACATCAACACTGCGTTTCGCTACGTTTCTATATTTGGAAACGGTAGGTGCACGCTCACCTGTTTGACAGCGAGCGCAAGCCCCTGCAAAAAAGCGCATTAAGTGGTTACCACCAATAGAAAGCCAGCATTCTGTTCTATAAATTCAATAATGGCCTACGGTGATTCAATGTTGGCTTGGAAATGCGACTTCTGTATAAATGGTGAAGAGGATGGACTGAAACAGTCTATATAATTTGAGAGAATGAATAAGAGAAAAACTTCCATTAAGGTTTCCCTTCAAATATGACGTCCAGAACCTGATTTGGGCTGATTTTTTGGCAGAATATTGGCTAATTTGGGCTAAATAGATGTTTTAAGTTTTGGCGAAATTGACGTGTCATTTTCACCTGAGTGCTTCCTTGTTGCCACTAGATGGCATTCCACCATCTAGAAAGTTATATAACGCATCTTGCTTTAAAATAAATCGTCCGGAATGATCGGTGCTTCTGAGCGTTTCCATTTATGGAACGCAGCGCTTCTATATTTGGAAACGTTTCCAAATATAGCAACGTTTCTATAAATGGACCAGAATTACCACAGTGCACCTGACTGAAATGGAAGAGATGACCACAGTTTCACCAACTGATCTAAAATCAATGTCCAAATTAAAATTGATTAGAACCACATTTGAGAAGCACCACTCACTATCATCACAGAGTAACCCGCACTGGTATGCATCAGTCACCCTGAAAATCGGAGTCACCCCGCATGACGGAATTGCCTTACCTTGTCATTATACCTACCATGTGACCATGCCCTCCATTGAATTGCTTAAGAGATATAGACTGCATAAGTTTTATTTTTGATACTGATATAATCAAAATCTGCAATATTTTTCAGTCTGGCAATATCAGACAAAAGCAGGATAGCCACAAGGCAAAATGCTCACGAGAGTTTAACAAAATTTGTGAGCAAATAGGCAAAAGACACCAATGCCAACTGTTACTAACTTCTTCAAAATATAGATAACATACAGTAACAGTAATCGAGCAAACTTACTTGTCCAGGAACAACATAAAACCACTTCAACTTCCTCAGTTCAAGTTCAAGTTCCGACCTTGGTTCCGACCGCTTCTTGCACCCTTCGAAAGAAAGATGGCAGCCGACAGCGGAAATAAAATGGCTACCATATTCTTCCAAAATTCCTTCAAACTTCTTTGAAAACTCTGACAGTTGATCTCCCAGCGTGTTCAGAGTTTCGTAAGAGCTCTAGGGGAATATTTCAGAGTATTTTGAACAGAATCTAAGAAGAGTATGCAAATGACTCTGCCAAACATCTCGCGCAAAGCTTGCAACATCTCAGGGAGGGATACTTGTGGAATAGAAGCAGAATTCATTGGCGAGTATGCGGAATATTCTACTAGTTTTTGTCGTACCTTCAGTGGATTAAACGCGGTACAGAGTTAACTTTTTTCTCAGTGTAGACCGGATAGCCTTCCCGTCATCCGCTTGCCGACAAGTTTGTCTGTCTTTGGGATGACACAGCACATTAGTGTTGACGCGCTCCTGCAACTGTTGTACATACGTGAGCTGTTCGGCAAAGACGGTAAATAATGCGCCCCACAGAGTGAGCATCACAGCCCGTTGGCGCTGTGATGGCGAGATCACAAACTCTGCGTTGCTCAGTACCCGGGGTTTCTGGCAATACCTACTGCTCCTGCGTATTAGATCTTGTTACGAGCGAGCGAGCGCAGCGAGCGAAGCGATATTTAGTTTTTATAATCTCGAGTCTCATGTGCAGAATGGTTGAAAAATGTCCAGGTCATGTGTATTTTGAAAGTGTAAAAGATTATATTGATTAATTTATTAATGTATTAGTGTCTCGGTATTGTCACTGACGAAGGCACCCTGAGGCCGAAACGTCTGGCTATTTAGAATATTTGCTTTTGTGTTATCATCGAAAGTGAATAAATATCACCAGTAAAACGCCTTTTGGGCGAAGAACGAGCGAGCGAGATAGTAAGCCCTGCACGTGCAGAAGGGCGAGAGGGTACTTCCAACGGGCTTGTGCAAAGCACCCTTCTAACCGGTCGCTAGCGATGTACCAAATTTGAACGCAATCGGCCCAGCCGTTCCTGAGATCTGGAAGCGGCATTCTGCACGTGCGCACGTGCAAACGGGGTCCAAAATGACTTTTGCACGGCACCCTACTAACCGGTCCCCAACCGTGTACCAAATTTGAGCGCAATCGGCCCAGCCGTTCTCGAGATCTGGAAACGCCCCCTGCACGTGCGCACGTGCAGTAGCACCCTAACCGCAACACATGGGAATGCATTGCCTGGTGGGTGCCTACCTGTATGCCAAGTTCCAGCAAAATCGCCCCAGTAATTACCGAGTTACTGAAATGGGAACAAATTTAGCACCTCTTATTGTTGTATTTTGCACGTGCAATGGGGGTCACTCACATAGATCAAGAATATCCGACCTTTGGTAGAAGGGATGCAGCTACCTTATAAAAATGACCGCAAGACAATCGCTCAAGCCGCTGCTGAGATATGGGCCTCTCAAAATCATTACTTTTGCAAAACTGCTTGAACACCCTTGACTTTTCACGTGGCACGTGCCACGGCGGTCACTGAGATGTATCAAAAGTAGTCAATTACGGGGTAGAAGGGATGGGGCTACCCAGCAAAAAAGACCGCAGGCCAATCGGTCCAGCGGTTGCTGAGATATAAGCCTCTCAAAAGCGTTACAGGCCGGGCCGGGCCGCTCATACTGAGATTTTTCCGTTATATTGAAAAGACTCACTTCGCTCGCTGCGCTCGCTCGCTCGTAACAATGTCTGACACGATACATAACGGAAAAATCTCAGTATGAGCGGCCCGGCCCGGCCGTAACGCTTTTGAGAGGCTTATATCTCAGCAACCGCTGGACCGATTGGCCTGCGGTCTTTTTTGCTGGGTAGCCCCATCCCTTCTGCCCCGTAATTGACTACTTTTGATACACCTCAGTGACCGTCATGGCACGTGCCACGCCACGTGAAAAGTCAAGGGTGTTCAAGCCGTTTTGCAAAAGTAGTGATTTTGAGAGGCTCATATCACAGCAGCCGCTTGGGCGATTGACTTGCGGTAATTTTTGTATGGTAGCAGCATCCCTTCTACCAAAAATAGGATACTCTCGATGCATGTGGGTCACCCCCCAGTGCACGTGCAAAATACAACAATAAGAGGTGTTAAATTTGTTCCCATTTTAATAACTCGGTAATTACTGGGGCGATTTCGCTGAAACTTGGCATACAGGTAGGCACCCACCAGGCAATGCATTCCCATGTGTTGCGGTTAAGGTGCTACTGCACGTGCGCACGTGCATGGGGCGCTTCCAGATCTCGAGAACGGCTGGGCCGATTGCGCTCAAATTTGGTACACGGTTAGGGACCAGTTAGTAGGGTGCCGTGCAAAAGTCAGTTTGGACCCCGTTTGCACGTGCGCACGTGCAGAATGCCGCTTCCAGATCTCAGGAACGGCTGGGCCGATTGCGTTCAAATTTGGTACACCGCTAGCGACCGGTTAGAAGGGTGCTTTGCGCAAGCCCGTTGGAAGTACCCTCTCGCCCTTCCGCACGTGCAGGGCTCACTATCTCGCTCGCTCGTTCTTCGCCCAAAAGGCGTTTTACTGGTAAATATTGTTCATTCAGCAACCTTCTGTGTCAATGCCACGTCCGCCGCCGTGGCAGGCGGGGACTGGGGACAGTCTGGGACGCCCGTTGCTGGGACCAGGTTGATGTGCGTCTGTGCCTTGGTCTGTGCCCTGTTTGCTGGCGGGTTGGGCACCAGTGCGCACCCTCCCTCCGCCGTGGTCACCGCGTAGGATCGGCGGGCTTTGAGGCGTCGGATCGCGGCAGCGTCGAGGTTGTAGGGCGCTGCTCCCAGCACGTCGTCATTGAGAGATGGATGATGACGACTTCGGGCACGAAGGGTGGGGGTGGTTCCGGGGCCGATGCGGCGCCCGCCGACGGGCCTGCCCCTTCTTCTGGGGCCGGGCGGGTACCCGAGGCACGTTACGCGGCAGGACGACGACCGGGTAGAGAGTGCCTACGCTGTCCCACGTGGTGGCATGGAGACGCTTGGCACACTTCTGTGTCGCATAGTCAATACCGGCTCCTAGACCGGCGGGCCCAACGTTGTCATTTGTCACGTTGTCCGGCGGGTGAGTGGTCCACATCTGCATCAGGTGGATTGCAGGCGATGAGACTGGTGCCGGTGTCATGGCACGTGTTTTGTCCAGATGTGCCGCAGAGCCCTCGGACAAGGCAAGCCTTGGCCCGCCGCTTGTTTATGGGTTGTCGCCATAACAAGCGGGGTAGAGTCGTAACTATGAAATGACTGAAAATAACAAACTATTTAATCACGGCCTGAAGTTTTCCATAATCTATTGCTATCTTTCAGTCACTTGACACCAGACATGTGCATGGATCCGAGTGATGGATCTATGATCTCAGTGGATTTCGAAGCAAAGTACAGGCTGGGATCTATGATCCCACCGGATCCGGCGTGAAAAATACATCTTGGATCTATGATCTCATATGATCTGACGATAAATTAAGAATATGGATCTATGATCTGAGTGGATCCCACTATGCACCACATTTGAAACCATGTTTTCAAGGGTTTCTATGCCAATAAGTGACACAAAACTATGGATTATGACGTGTGATCACATAAAATCACTAAAACAGAACGGTTGTGAGTTGAAACAAGTGCTTTTTTGGGATATATGTGTTGATAAAAAATAAGTGAGGATCTGTGATCTCACTGGATCTGAAGCAAAAAATGAGACTCGGATCTGTGATCCCTACGGATTTCTCGATAAATTACAGAGCTGGATCTATGATCCCGTCGGATCCGAGATCAGGATCCGTGGGATCAGATCCCAGATCCATTTTCTCGGATCCATGCACATGTCTGCTTGACACCTGGCCTGCCCACTCTTTTGCCCACTCTGCCCACTCAAACATCGTCCTCATGCTTTGCAGCCACTGCCAGAATACATCACCGGACGACCCTACCTGGTATATAGGGCCTTGCCAGAATCCATAGCCGCTTACACCGTACTGCTTCCCTTTATCGTCATGCAGTTGATTTTTCATTTCCTTGTCCTTAAATGAACGGTGACTGGTCATAAAAGAGAACG